AGTAGGTAAACATCGAGGAATCCATTTGATAGTAAAAAAATGCTATATTTGGCCTTTTTTACAGTACACCTACCGTATGTGTACCGTACGAACCGCTAGCTCTCGGAGTTGCGATTTTTTCGACCGTATTTCATTCAGGAAGAATTATGTTCGAAATACGTGGTTATTTAGTCAAGAATCAAAATTAGCAAGTCCAAATGGCTCGCAGTCTGTACGGTACAGATACGGTAGGTGTACTGTAAACAAAGATCGTTTGACCACCTTCGCGGCAAAAGCACACTGATCATAAAAAAGGCTTCGGTTCGTACAAAAAACATAATCAAAGATAAATATTCGACCTAGGGCTTTACATTTACTTTTGAAGCACGTATGTCGAAATGTTCCTTCGTGATGCCCCCTTCTTTCTCCTTAAAAAAATCTCGAAAGCGAAGTTGAAAACATAAGAGAGTTCTGTACCCAGAAAAGAGTTTTGCATCAAGTTTAACAGTTTGTGCCCAGCCCGAATTTTTCGAAAATATCAAATTCTCGGCTTTTATTTCGTGACAGTTGCCTTAAAGGCAGTGTCCGGGCAAAAACTCGATTTTGAGATTTTGTGCTTATACGGGCCTATTCGCCATGCTGAATCCGAAAATCCACATTGGAAAGCGCGAAAACGGCGAAAAAGGGCTCTAACACAAGAGGGAAATCAGCAGGTGGGCGGGGCTTTCCCCAGTGCGATTTCACGCTCCCAGCTCCAGTGGCGATTTTCTCGGTTCCGCTAGCCGTTCTAACATCGCTACCGGCCAAGTGCGAATGATTGACTTGAAACCGGAAATGAGAATTTCGCTCCGGAAGCCGGGAACGTGAATTCGCAGTGGGGAGGACCCCGCCCACCCGCTGATTTCCCTCCTGTGTTAGAGCCGTTTTTCGCCGTTTTCGCGCACTACAATGTGCATTTTCGGATTCAGCGTAGCGAATAGGCCCAAGTAAGCACAAAATCTCAAAATCGAGTTTTTGCCCGGACACTGCCTTTAAATTGGTTGTGCACGCGATTCTTTGCACTTACGAATTATTTTGCCATAAAACTTGTTGTCGAAATTTTGCAAAACGTGATGACGTCTCCAACTTAGGAGATCATTTCGAAAGAACAGTATTACGCACATTACCTAAATTTAGCGTCAAAGAATGTGTTTCTTGAGACATTATGGGACAAGTGTTAAAAGTTGACGATTGCTTTTTGACACTTTATGGGTCATATGTCCCAAGAATCTTGGAGCGAAAATGCGTAGGAAGAGGGAAAACATTGAAATTAGCCACTATTCAAGGCATTCAGAGTGTCTGCTCTTCTTACGTTTTATGTTCCTGCGTTTTTATGGATTTGTTTTGTAAAATGTTAAATTTTGGGCAAGGGCAATTGGGAATATTAAATGAGCAAAGTAAGGCATGGGTTTTCTTCGGAAATTTTGCAAAACAGCTAGCCCAGAAACTTCTAGAAAATTTCGAAAACTTCGAGGAAATCGAAAAACAATGTGATCATCGATGGGACGAAGCGATTAGAATCGTCAAGAACAAGCAAAGAGTCGCCGATAGGCTGAAGGCCAGGCACGTATGGTCGTCATCGCGGCGACTGGGGAACACGTTTCCGCCCCCCCCCCCCCGCTAGGGATAGGGATAGGGAAGGCGAGGGGGGGGGGGTGTATACGGGAGTAAAGAACATAGTCCATACAAGGAAAAGAAAGTTAGGTAGAAAGATTATCTGAACCACAGTATCCGCGCTGAATTGGCAAAATGCCAATTTACAGGTGCTAACGTGACTAACGCGAAAAAGCTACAGTATCGCGCTAAGCTGGTCAAATGCCACTCCAACATGATCTACCGCGTAAAAACCTACAGTATCCATCCTTACTTGGCAGAATGCCATTATTACAGTATCTGACCGTGAGAAAAACTGTAAATCAATGGAACAAAGGCAAACTAAACCACCAAACACCAAACCAATGCCCACTAAGCAGACAATTGCGGGTCCGTACGTTTCCAGTTCATGTGTCTATACTTACCCGATGTAAAACTCTTTAGAAAAATAGCGGCCATTGACTACAATGAAACATTTGATGGTCATGTGAACAGAACGAGCGATAGTATCACAGATGTTAAAGGTCGCGCCGCGAAAAACCCTTCACTATCGAGCATCGGATGTCAACGGACCGATAACGTTACTTTGATGAACATTACTGGTTTGGTCTAGACGGACGGGGGAGGGGGTAGGCAGGGTTCATCAATGCATGCAATAATGAGGATTGGGAGGAGAAACGGGAAATACGGGGGGGGGGGGTATGAGTTGAGGTAAGAGGAATTGATTTGAAGGCTGATATATAAATCAAGGTGAACACTTCTCTGAGGATTCTGATGGATAAAAATTAGTCAAAAAATTCTGCAGCCGAAATAAATAAACTAACAATAAATGATACTCCAATGTAGGTTTTTATTTATTTAATTATTTACATTTCGCTCTCAAAATCTTAGAAAGCGTCAGAAATCAGTTTCCAGATTAGATAAAAATGGGACGGGGACGTAACAGGTCTTATAAATTTGACTTTTCCTACCATCAAAATTTGTGAGAGTGAAAAAATGCCCGATGCTCAAATATTGCGAGTTTCAAAGAACTAGAGTTCAACCAGACCAGCAATACAAAAAAAAATTCTCTTTTCATCAAAATTATCTTAGATTTGAGCGAAATGGTACTGACTGGCCAACGAATCCGAAATGTCAAACGATTGTATTTTCAATAAGTGACTGAAATAAATGTAAATTTGTAAATCAGTAATCAAGAACGATTAATTTTTTTTTGTTAAATAGGTCAATGAACAAATTTGATTTTTGGTTATCTCAAATCACTGGAATCGATCTAAAACTCTAGAGAATTTGATAACTAATAAAGTAGAGAATTTGATAAGTAATAAAGATTTAGGAATGTCTCTGATTATTCAGCCACACAGATAAAAGTTTTTATGTCCTTTTTTTATTTAGCAACAAGACCTTTTGTTCAAAAGATTTTCCCATGTTAACCACATAAGAAAACAATCTATTACCTGAGAGAAATTCGCAGAAAACCTAAAGTTAATTTCACCTGTCACATGAATTCTCACCGAAAGAACTTGAAAGTGCAGCTGCTAGTTTCTCTTTTTTTACTCAAGAGATTATGAAATGTCATGAACAATAAATATCAAATGGGAGAATGTTTTTTTTGCGAAAAATCATCGGCGCAAAAAGAACTAATCTCCCTAGTCAGCAGAAAGAAGTATTTGATAGAACAAGACTTGAGCTTTTAGTTCGAAAAGTTGACTCTAGTGAGAAGTGTGAAATATTAGTGTGTACTAAAAGGTCATGAAAAAGATGTATAGTTTTATTTTTGTAAGAACTCGTCAATTGTTTCAATCACAGCTGCTCTCTCGTCACATGGGAAATAATTAATTTGATAAAATTTATTTAGCATCGAAATTTTGGGATTTTTGCTGGTCTTTTAAGCATGGAAAAATATTGCGAAAGTTGAAGTACAACTTGACAACGCTTGGTTTTCAGATTCTGATTATAAATAATGAAACCAAAGGTCTTATAGAGCTCTTTTGGTCTAAGCACATATACTTTGAATACGCATTCTCAGACCGTTCACTGGAAAATTTGCAGCGGTTCCGCGAAATTTGTCTACTATTACAAAAGGAAAACATTGAAAATGAGAACTTCCGCAGGATTTTCATGTCGGACTGGTTGGAAACGGAAACTTCAGCAGGGCTTTTACAAAGCGCTGCGGAAATTCCAGAAAAATGCCGTTCTCTTTTGTGTGGTTCGCATTTTCGGAACTTCCGCAGCACCTCATTTGGAATTAGAACCGGCCGAACCTTTCCAAACGTTCTGCGGAAGTTCCGGTTAATTGTCTGAATTGGGATTCGGCAATAAAAGAAGCATAACATGCGCTCTTCAACACGAAGGGTCAGATTTAGTAACTCAAAATTTTGGTTTCTTCAATAGAGTGCAAATAATTAAAACGAAAAAAATATGAAAATAAAGTGTGGTACAGAAATATTTTTTCACAAGTTCTTTAGACGAATTTTCAAAGATTCGGTGCAACATTTCTTAGATCAGATCAACCATGAAGGGTGTATCCCATTACTTGTGACTGTCAAATGCGTAGTCGCCGCGCGCGACAGGCTGGCAACAATCAGGCGCGCGGAGAACTTGGGTAGCCGACTCCCAAAGCCATACTGATCCTTCTTTGTAATGGTTTCTACAATGCCACATCAATTTTTTTTTGTTCGATGACAGTTTGGCCACAAAATATAAAAAAGGAAGATAGTGAAGGGGAATATGGTTTACTATATTTCCGATCAGGAACTTTAAACTTTTTGCTCGCTGGAATTGGGACATTTCCTCTGACCCTGCTGTCTCTCGTCGGGGTTACTGTAACACCGCGTTGCGACAGTTTCTAATCGACACTCACAAGTAATGGGTGCCCCCAACCATGACTGTGTTTTTTTTCTATTCTTATAAGTAGGAAGAATTTTTGCAAGTAGAGAGATCGAGAAAAGGCGAATTTTTCTCTAAAGTCACTACTGTATTCAAAAATAACTCACCTATCAAACTGCAAATAATCAATAAAACGTAAAAAACGCTGTCATGAATTTATGTAGCTCAAAGCATTTTTTAGACAAGGTTTTTTGCAACATTTTTGCACCAGGCTAATCTTATAGATTTTGTTTCCATGAGAAGAAAGATTTTTTGTGCTAGTGAATAAGGTATTTAGCAGATAATCAGTATAATTAATGGCTTGGCTAGATTTTCGAGATTTCATTCATTACCACCACGTCAGCCATTTGTTATGCTATGATTCATTCCTTATAGCGGCCTATCCAACTAGAATCGCTTACATTCTCTCAGCCCCTTAGCTTGCTATCAACAACAGAAGAAAATAGCAAGAAACCAGTTAGTGAAGCACAGTTACACACACCGAGTGACGTCAAACCTACCGGCTTGTTTTAAATGTCGCGTTTGGGCGAGGATTCGTCCGACGGGTTTCGTGTTGATCCAGATGTGAGTGATCGAGTCGTTTTTGCACTTCGATACGATATCCTGCAAGAAAATCAAATAAATCAAATGAAATTACGAGCAAATGGTTTGATAGAATTTTTCAGGTTTTGGAAAAGTTGAAAAAGACAAAAAGATACCTGTATGGATTAAAACAGTTAAGGTGTAAACAAAGTGAGAAAGAGGCGAGGCAAGAGAAAGTGTGGATGTTGTAAGTTGAAGTAATAGGGAATTCTTATTATTTCATACCAATTTATACTAGCTTATGAATCAAATTGACAGTGATTAAAAAATACGGAATAAAAGGGCAGGGTGGGGGGAGCGAAGGACTTGTATAGTGAGAAAGAAATAGGAAATTGGCAGATTACAAATCATTTACATTGAATATTAAAACTCATAAGCAGATAGTTTAAATTATAGTTTACAAACCAAACGGAATTTGCTTCAAAAAAATTCTCAGGAAAGGAGAAAAATCTCCATTTTTGAGAAATCACAGCAGATGACTACATGTGAATAGCTTTTTGCAAGTTGAATTTGAAAAAAAATTGGAAGCTAGATAATTAGAAACCAAATTTAACTACGTAAATTCAAGAGTAAGGCAAGATTACTTTAAAATACAGAGAGAAGTTGAGACAATTTCGGAGATTCAATGCGACTCATTCTCTATTTTTTCTGAATTTACAATCAATTTTAAGCTATATAGATCAAATTTTCATAATTTACCTGGCTAAGAAGAGCCCAGAATTTCATTGCAAATAACGGATACGATGCCAAAAATAGTAAAACTCTTTGGCAACGTAATCAGTTGTGACCGGTTTCCCAACCTGATACCGTTGGCAACAGAGACTATTTATAGCGAAGATTAGATAAAAAATTATCACAAGATCTGCCTCAAACCCGTTCCAGCCACTAATTAGCAATCTCTACTTCTGTGCTATTATTAGTAAGCCCAAAGATGGAGACAATAAAGGGAAAGAACAGTCTTACTGGTTTTTCTTTCAACAAACGTCATCCTGCGCTAATTATTTTGTTTTTTGAAGGTTGGAAGGAACTGGTCATGCTGTAAGTTTGAAGTAAAGGAAAAAGAAAATAAAGAGTTTCCCTCCTCAATCAACTTTGGTTCCGTCAAATTAGCTGCAAAAATAGCAAAAAAACTAGGAAAAGTCAGAAAGTCTAAAAAATCCCCGTAATCAACAGCAAAATCGTTCTTTGCTTTTCGAAGGCCCTTAGATGATTTGTAAATTTTATCAAATTTCTGTGCAAGCTTTTTTATACCCCCCCCCCCCCCCGATGACGCGAGATTTTGCTTGATTGCTTGATTGCAAATAAATCTAATCATACATCAGTGGCAGTAGTTTGTTGGCCGTTCTGATTTCATGGGACCACGTGGGTAAATACCCTGACTACTTGGGTAAATAGACGGTTAGGGATTTGCAGGTAGCGATTTGAGCAGATAATTTCATCGATGTTACTCCCACGTGGGATTATGTATGAAGAGTTCAGTGAAACTCCCTATTAATCGATACCTATTTATTGCATGTAAGATTTCTTAGCGAAAGAAAGAAGAGGGGGAAAAACGGTCAAAACAGGTATAGAACAGGTAACAGGTATAGGTTCCCCCTATCAATCAATACCTATGCAGTGCATGCAAAGATCCCTGGTAAAAAAGGAACAAGGGATGGGATATTTTTGGTCATGGGAACAAGTAGTAAAACCCCTTTTCAATCGATACCTATCTGATGCATGTGTAGAAATTTCCAGGAAAGTGGAACAAAAGATTGGACATTTTCATTCTAGGGAGCAGATAGTGGGATCCCTACCAATCGATACCTTTCTGCTGCATGTAGAAATTTCCACCATAGAGAAACAAAAGATGGAAGAGTCTTGAAGATGCAAGCAGCGAAAACCAAAGTCAATCAATAACTATTCTTGGCATGTAAAATTTCCTACCAGAAACAAGAAGTGTTCCTCCAAGTGGAAAACCTCTAGTCAAAGGAACAATTAGTAGAACTTATCAATCAATACCTATTTATTGCATATAAAAAACTCCCAAAACTCCCACAGACTCACCGATTGTTTTCTTATGTAAGAAGGCATTGTGTGTCAACCCGGGTAACTCTTACCATTCCTTATATACAACTAAGCCACCGACAATGGGCGTTAAAAGAAAATTACAATCGGGCAAAAAACACTTGCCCGATTGTGACATCAGCACATGGCATGCGGGAAACTCGTCCCGATACCCCCGTGAAAGTTACAATGGCAATCATTTGATGCGCATTGTCTGTATGCCACAGAACAACAGTCTAGTTATTCGCGGTATTTTTGATGCTGGAGACATGTGGACGGGGAAGGGGGGGGGGGGGAACAAGTTTATGGTATGGTGAATGCCTAGAATATGTAGTAAAGATGAAGAAGGTGATAGGAATGCATTGAAACGAACCTCTCAAACTTTTCAATTGAAAAAAAATTCTGTAGAATTTTGAACAACCGGGAGAAAATTAATAGATGGAGCAAGTGGTAAAAGGAAGGTAGAAAAAATGTGTAGAATAAGATTGAATGAATGATTGATTGAACGAATGAATGAATAAAATAAATGAAATGAGCGAATATGAATGAAAAGCGTGATTAAAATGAATGAGTGGATGAGTGGATGAATGGATGAATGAATGAATGTGAATGAATGAATGAATGAATGAATGAATGAATGAATGAATGTGAATGAATGAATGAATGTGTGGGATGTATGAATGAAAGAATGAAGAAATGAATAAATGAGTGAATGAGTGAGCGGTTGAAGTAATCGTAGAGTGAAGAATATTGATGAATTGCTTTCTGATTGGTGTTGAATCGTTGGAAAAGGTATGTCATGATTCTGATGAAACCCGACTAAATTATAAGAAAACAAAATCAATCATAAATTGTTTCGAAAGCCAAAGGGATGACCGAACACAACACAAACATCTCCACTTACAACTTTATTATTAGGCTGAATTGAAAATTAAAACCTTTTTTTACTTCGGGCCAATTCCTTTTTCAAAATTGTTTTTTTGCAAATCTTTAAACAATTTGAAAAATGAATGGCCGGAGATTAGTAATTTTCAAGATTTCTTTCCAAGAAATCCCCACCCCTCTTTTTTCCGGAAAAGAACACAATTACTATAAATAGAATTGCCTAAAAAGCACAAAATTTGCAGAAGCACGCACAGAGGGGCGATTTGCAAGTGCAAGGACCGTTAGTTATGAATATTAAGTAGTTTCACACGAATTCCAGAGAAAAGAGGAGACTTTATGGCAATCTCAAAGCAATCCCCAGATGGAGGGCACAATATATGTGCGGTTAACACTAACAGGTGAATTTGAACAAAAAGGTTAATGAAAAACAAAAATGTTTTACACAGACTGCTTGGAAAAAATTAGATGAGATGTAAACGCTTGATTTAGGGAATTGGAAAAAGATGAAAGAATGAGGAATTGAATTTGATTCATATTTATCGTCTGGATGAGCTAGATTATTTACATCCATTTACTCGGTGTCTTGTATCCCAAGGCAAAAAACAAACGATATTTTTATAAATCAAAAAAGATTTTTCGCAAGAAAGTTTCCTCCAAATTATATACAACCTCGTACTTTTCCAATCATTATCATTCTGATGAAATGTGAGCAAAACCTTCTAGAACATTCTTCGTTTTCCTTCCATAATTAGAAAACAAAAACTTAAGCAGATTTTCTTATTCCCATAAAAATGACTCATAGCCTTTCCAGACTCAATTTTTCTTGAGGTAACAGACTGGATGATACAATTTGACGCAGTTGCCCAAAAAACTTGCATAGAATGCTAGTTTTACCATTTTCGGGTGCGGCAAAGTCATCACTTGTTCCAAGTAACCGAAACTGAATCATCAGAACAAGACTTGAGACATAGGAAAAAATTAATTTACAGAAATGATAGAGGTGTGACGTTATGCGGAAGTCTGCATACCCAAATTCTTAATTTAAAAGATTTGTTGATCGGAGGGATTCGCTATCTGTTTTGAATAATTTGATAGATTTGTTTATGGAGAGTCACTTGCCAATTTGATTTATAATCAAATTAGTGGTTGCTGTGTTTGTGCGAAGAATTTGATGAATTTACTATCGAAAAGCAATTTAGAACTGGAGGAGTGGGGAGAAGAATCGAAGAAATCAGATAAATCGAACGTCAAAAACGAAAATGAAAAATGGAGTTTTTGAATGAGAAAATGATTTTTGAATATGAGACGCAATCAATCTCCATCTCTAATGATTAAAGGAATTTTCGGTTAAGCATGTTTTCAGGGATAAAAGGAAAAGGAAAATCCAGTAAAGACTAGGAAAAAACTTTAGTAGCAGAAGAAGAAAGCAAGAAGATAGAAAAAGAAGAAAGCATAGTCCAGAAACCAAGATAAAGCACCCACCTCCAACCGCATCGTAGCCTCCACAACAGGGGTTTGATTATACATTAATACTATTTGTAAGATTCGTCCCTCGGTGACGGCAGTGTCCCAGCATTTTTCCCATTCGGGATAGATAGTTTTCTTCTTTTGCACGAGGCGAGATTCACCTGAAGAACCAGAATTTCTCTAGACTTGACGAGAATTTTCAATCAAAGAGGATTTGATACTTGGCAACAAACATTCAATAGAGTGCGATTTCTTACATGTGCTGCTTTAGTTTTTTCTCATTATCTTTTGAAAAAGGCAGATTTCTATCGTTGAAGCATAAATATTATTCAGCTCCAATTTGAAATGAAAACCTATATATCTCCTCTTCCCTCCCCACTTCTGCTCCCCCTCCCTCCGAATCTTTCGATTCCTTTAGGAACCCCCTTCTAACAAAAGATTCCTCGAAACCAGTAACCCAGCCTTGGACTCTGATGGGTCCAAGGTGTTATTAACCCAATCTTATCAATTCTCTACGATTTGAGTAATGAATGTTTTTCTATCCGAACTTTTATATATGTTTGCAATGACGGACTGTTATTCATTTAATATGTGCCAATTATCTCTGAATCAAGGCTATTTTCGATGAACATTGCGATATTGGCAAACGACTACGGGAAATTGTAATATTTGACTAAATCATGGACATGTTTTCAACAAAAATAACCAAAATGACTAACATAATAACAAAATAATTCAACAAAATAAACCAAGCTTATTTCATTTATTTTATTTTTATTTTTATTTATGCATTCACTGACTCGCTGAAAACATCACAACCATGAGTAACATTAATTAGTGTAACTTTCGACTTCCGAATTTTAATCCAAAATACATCCTTAGAAATTATATTTGATCAAAAAATATAGTGAGCTTTTCTTTAACGTTTCAAAACATTTACAAAGATTTGGAAGGTTTTTTGACTCGCTTGCAAAAATTTTTGCTGGGTAAATCATGACCTATAAGTTGCATTATGGCAAGATCGATATACTAACGATTCTCAAAAGTTGAAGATGTTCATAAAAAGTAAAAAGAAGATAAAGTTATGAAGGAGTGAGCAGCTTTTATATTTTTTCACTTTTCACGTTATGTCCTTCGCATATCCGCATATAATATGAGAAGATCGACGCTTAAAAGAAGATTGTTTGAACATATTTATTCGGTTTCACAGCTGCACATGAAAAGAAGTAAATAACGTAAAAATGTTGGTAGATGACTTCTTTTTATATAGGTTTACATCATAATAAATTCTTTTCTTCTATTAAAATAACGTCATTCAATTCGTAGACAGGTTACATAGCTATTTCTGGACCTTGTGTAGAGAGCAAAAAGACAAAGCTTCAGACTTCTTCATCATTTCATGTTTTTAATACTTCCGCATTATCCATCACATTTTGTTTATTCGAATTTACGATGTCATGCGCTTTGTATTGTGCCAAACTTTGATGGACAGAAAACGTCACAACACAGAAAATACACAGCAAATAGTTTAAAAAAAAACAAGTCCTTAGAATTTACTAAGGGTCAAAAAAACTTCGAAAAAACTAATGATAGCAGTTGTGATTACAATAGACCTTAGTTAATAGCGAGTAAGCTTCAAACTTACCATTAACTTCAATTTTTTCTTTGACATTTACAGCCGGAAGCAAATCGCCAGCTTCACAACCGGCTGGTAATTGTTCAGCTGGTATATCGGCTCGAAGAAGTTTGAGCCTGAAATGAGAATTCTGAAAAAAATTGCAACAATGCGTGAGATTCGAACAACAGAATTGTCACTAGTTTAAAAGTTTGAAAAATTTCAAAAAGGCAACAACGGACTAGTCAGAAATTCTTTGTAAGCGGCATAAAATATCGAGAAAAAATAAATCCTTTTCGGGTGTCATATCGAAGAGCTTTTAAAGTGACTGTAGAGCAATGAAAGATAAAACAAGACGGATAATATGAAGCAAGTTTATACATTGTTACCCCCCCCCCCCCCCCTCCCCCTCCCGTTTCTGAATCAAAAACTCCTGGAAAGAGAAGGCTGAGAAGAAATCTCGATAAAAGATTTTACAAAACTTTGGAAAAAATCAAACTCCATCACAAATCTTGAAGAGTTTTTAGTCGATATTAGGTTGTCCCGAAAGTTTTGTCGGTTTTTTCAAACCACTGTAAAACCATGCTTAATGAAGATTTGAGTGAGTTTCAAAGTGCATTCGATGCAGCTTTTCTTTCTCTTTCTTATGGATACACTTTCATACCATAATCTTGTATACTTTCTTTGATAATTGTCAAAATTTTCCACCTGTCAATTCTACCTGCTCAAAATAGAGCTAATCTTCAAAAATTTCATTACAAAGTTTCGAAAAAGACTAAGTATGGGTCAAATAGAGCAACTCTCGGGCTATAAGCTCATGTTTTTAGATTCTCCTAATCCGCTGATTTTAAGTTCAAAAAATTATTTCTCCGGAGGCCTTGGTTTTTAGCAAAGTCATGAGACGCGCATTTGCAGCAAAAGCATGAAAGCTTTTAAGTTTTTGCGATTTCAAACTTGTTTGTTATTTAACATCATTTATGCAACATAACAAGTTTGATTTGCTTCAAAAATCACCTTTTCGGAATTTTCGGTAATTTTACGTGATAAAACGTCTTCAAAAAGCCGCGGTTTTTCTCAAATAAATAATTATTACGGACATTATAGACGTGGCCCGCGTAATCTAAAAAAGGTAGTACAATGTAGCCAAAGGCTTGCCCTACATAATAGTCACCAGCGCTCATCGAACATATCAAGATAAAAATTTTGAAAACTCAGGAAAGTTTTGGCGCTACTGCTGAGGTGCTCAAAAAGCCATGGCGATAACATCGTAAAGACGGGGTAGGTTGGGGAACAAATATAGCTATAAGAAAGAGGATACAAAAATGAATAGAATGACATCTAGGTCGTCCATGGATTGGTGTTCTGTGAGGTTTGGTGAGCGATGAAAAAACCGACAAAACTTTCGGGACAACCTAATATTTGAAGAAAAGCGAGAACAGACATGCTATTAGTAAGCGAATCATTTCCAATATAAAGTGAAATAACACAAATTCTATAAAAAATGCAACTTACCGGCACGCGCTTTCGGTGCGCGCCATTTTGTAGGCCGGATCGACGGCAAGTATACTCTCCGGCGTCTGATCCAGAGGAAAAATGTCGACAACCTGGAAAGTTTAAGATTTATTCACGGGACATGTCATAATAGTGCACATTATTCATAAAGGTTGAATATGCGAAGATGCTGCGTTGTCGAGGCACGCAATAAAATTACTAAAAATAGAATTTATCTTGTTATGCTGTCATAATTCATAGAAAATAAGAAGAGTTTTGGGTGCGATTCTAAAGATGAAAGTTTTGAAATCACAATTGCTTTATCATAAGCTGAAGTTGTAGCTGAGTTTGGAGCAAAGTAGAAACTTTTGATAGCATTATCATTTAACCAATTTTATCTCTCCTTCATTTGAATTGTTGTTGTCACATGTTTTATAGGGAGATATAACAATCCCAGTAATGCATAAAAATTTTTCGAGGCTTCTCAAGCATAGAAGAAGCAAAGAAAATTACTATTATTTCACAACAGCTACATTACGGATCCTTTCAATATTATGCAGAAAAGTAGTAGGCAATGAGATATGGCAATACTCTCTATTACCCGGTAATAATGTACCCTTGTACTGAGATAAAATTCAAAAAAATGAAATTATAGTTCTTGTTATGTCATGTTCACCTCTCAAAATTGGTTTTCATAAGTTCTCTTTCCTTGAAAATATAGTTCCGATGAGGATCTTAATCTCCATGGGAAAAAAGTAAAAGAAATTATTTTTCTCACTCAATTATTACTTGTTTGGAGTGAGTCTGTCATTTGTCATTTGTCACTCTACAAGTCAAAATTTACACACTAAATCAGCGAGCAGCAAAAGATATTACAGCAATGTGATTGCACGCCATGAAGTATATGAGGTCATTTGAATGTAGAAATGATGAACCTTGAACAAAAATGTTTTGTGAAACCAAAACTTATAGCAGTTCTATATACTAGAAACTCTTACTCAGACAATTCACCGGAACTTCCGCAGGCAAGCGAAATTTGCAGCGGTTCCGCAGGGATTTGTATACTATCGCAAAAGTGGAAACGTTGAAAAATGGGAACTTCCGCAGGATTTTCACGTGACCGGTTGAAAACGAGCTTCCGCAGGACTTTCTACAAAATGCTGCAAAAATTCCGGAAAATGACGGCGGTTCCGCAGCGCTTTGACATGCCAGTACTTCCGCAGGGTTTTGTATGTGTTGTCTCGTAAGATATTGCCTCGCCAACAACTAGAGTGCATTACCGAATATGTCATCCGTGATAAGAAGGTAATGGGTGAATCTCACAGTCAATAGAGTAAGGTTCAAATCTCGCTTAGGTGTTCACTTTGGCTGTTGTGGTTCGCATTCTTTGGAGCTTCCGCGAACATCTACGGAACTTCCGCATGTGACGCGGCGGAAATTTTCTAAACCTCCTGCGGAAGTTCCGGTCAGTTGTCTGAGTACCACACTATGCACAATGAATAATAACAATGATAACTAGCCACAAAGTTTAGGAATGTCTTGATTTTTTCTGCTGATGCCATGAACTAGGAAGCAAGCTTAATGAGAGAAGATGGATCTCACTTTGGCATATATAGAGAGTATTAGTGATGCTACGGTAAACCTACAGTAATCCTACAACAACGCTCAGGTCTTAAAGTTCTCGCAAAGGTGTGCAGATCTGCATAAAGGCTCTTGAACAGCGAAATTCAAAAATTTCAATTTCATAGCACCTTCGAGCATGAGTAAGTGTGAAAAAAGACAGTCGACAACCGGAAGAAGCAATTATTGTATATTTTCTGCTAGAAATTATTCAAATGGCTTCTAGAGACAATAAGAGAAAGCATAGTTTGAGATAGTCCATTCTCATGTTACAGTAAGCCTACAGTAATACTGTGCTTCCAATTATGTGTCAAATTCGTAACTGAATGATTTAAGTTTGAAGATTATACTTCTTCAAAGCCATTTTCACAGTTACAGATGCAAAGTGGTCGTGTCAATCCTGTTACAGTATCTTTACAGTAAGCATACAGTCTCAAAACGCTCCTAAACACTTGTAAGTGTGCAAAATAGAGGTCGAGCTGAAAAGTGATTTTTATAGATTTTCTTCTTAAAAATCACATAGACAATGTCAAAGCGCAAGTGAGAAGAATGGTGTAACTGTCAGGCGATTTCATTTAACTCCCGTCGGTGACCTTAACGCTCACAAAACGGAAGTATCAATGGCCTTCGTGGCCTTTTTGACGGTTCGAGGAGATCGTCCGTACGGTTAGGGAACACCTAGATGTGAAGAGAGCATCGACATCGTCGATCCCGACCGACAACGTGCACTTCGCTGCAAGAAATGAAACGATCTTTAGACAAAAGCGATTGGAAAATTGTGAACTCGTCCATGCGCGCGCGACGGCCCTTTATGGCTAGGTTGGCGTACTGTAAAACTTCAGAGGACTGTTTGGTGGTGGATTTTACGGCTTATACAGGAAGTAGAACTGGACAGACTTTGCATGAAGACGAGAACTTCTATAATCAAGAAAGTTGGAACGTTCTGGAAAGCTAATCACTGTCACTTAGTCAAATCTATTTTTGGCTCAAATTCAGTATTCTTTTTTCACGTCAACGATGTCAAGACGTCACGGAAAAAGTTTGACACAAATTTGACTAAAAATAGAATTTTTCAAAAGAGGGAAACGAGGGTATCTGCAATGCTATATATGAAACTACTCTTTCCACAACATGCTCTAATGACGTCCGAAATCAAACGGAAGCGACTGACTTCCTAGCATTCTTGACACTACCAAATCTTCAATATACGACGGGGGGGGGGAGGAGGTGATGTTAGATTTTTTCGAACTTGATTGCCAATTTCGGCAATTTTTCGTTAAATGAAGCTTTACATCAATTACTCGCTTATAAATGGCATGAAGCCCTTGTGAGGTTATCGTAGGTCTACTGTATACATCTGCTCTGTTCTACAATCCCTTCAACCTCATTTAGGTCAAGAAACTCTTCTATACTCTGTGAAATGTGAAGATACTGGAAAATTGATTGGAATAATGAACGTCAATGTTCATAAGAGAATATTTGATAAACAAAAAGTATAGGAAAAATGTCTATGAATGTAAAGAATGTAGAGATGCATAGGTACTTGCTTGAACTAATCAGATAGATATTGAGCTTGCGTGACCAACCAGTGAATAAATGAATAATCAAATGAACCATTATTTGAACTAATGAAAATCATTCATGTTCAGTAAATTATCCCAAAAATGATAACCCAAACCACCAACATCGACCAAAGTACTTTGGATTACCGGAATAAATAGCATTCGTAAAACAGCAATTTTTGGAAGCTGGCTCGCAAAATTCGGTATTTTCTTTTAAGTTTCAAGAGTTAAGAGACCCTTTTCAAAACGAGATAAGACTGGAAAAGCAGATGAATAACGTTTAGTGGAGAATGGAAATTATAAAAAGGGAGAACTTGTTGCATTTTGAAAATAAGAATATTATGGCCAAAAATTGAAAATTTTGAAAAAGATAGTGTCAGAATTACAAAACATTGTCAATAAGTCTATAAAAAATCAAAACTTTCGCAGCAGTTTCGGGAATTTTTGTAGAAAATGAAGCCCCAAGCACTTTTTTCACATTGACTAATAAACTAAGACCAAGAAAACTGATAATCCCCATTGATGGCTTGGCTTTTCCTAGAAATTCCCCGAAATTCTGCTGAACAGTTTTTCGGAGAAAAAAAGAAAGAGTTTCCCGTTTTACTTTTTGGACTTGAGGTCGTACTATGGACATTTGACGCCCTCTTATAGCCACTTTCCATCTGGCAGATTGCGTCGGCCATAGACGGCGCAACCACGATTTGATTCCCGCAATAGAATACGAAATAAAACGGGATAAATTGATCTTGGCAATTTGATTTCGGAAAGTAAATGGCAACTAAATGGTAATAAAATTCAAGAAAAAGTGTCTCGTGAACATTTACGTCAGCAAAAGGTTCTCTGGAAATGAATGAGAGTCGCAACATTGAGCACATTTGCACTCCATCATTTTGCTGCTGCATATTCTGCAGATGTAGATTTTTAGCATAAATTTCAGAAATTTACGGGAGGGCAAACTCATCGAGAAAGAAAAGGAAAACGTATACTTTCAAGAATTTTAGTGAAGTTCCACATACCGACCCGGCTCCGAACGCACGTAGAGTTTATTATGTTTGTCATCATCCTAAGTAAATAAGCACTTTGAGAAACGGGAAAAACTTCTAAAAGTAGCAGTAAGAAGTAGGCTTCGTTGCAAAAGCCGTCATTTCCTTGCTGTTAAAGGCCAAAAATATGAGGCTCAAAATTTCACTCACAAAAGTGAGATTAGAGATTTCAAAATGGAACAAAATGTAAGAAAAAATTATTAATTGTCTCAAATTTGTTATGTTATTTTTTTACTAAACATATTTTAGAGTATGCAGTTTTTAAATATTCTTTGCTTTCAGATAGAAGACCTGAAGGTGATCATAAACAATTCTTCGAGGTTTTTTTCGCAAATAAATCTTAATGCTATTTCTTAGGATTTTTACGAATTTGACCCAGTAGCCAGAAAACAAGTGGATTGAATAGTTTGGGGGAAAAATCCCTATGAAACTGTCAAAATTCCCAAAAATTTCTAAAAACCCGGCGGAATTACATATTCCAATTATTTCAGTGGGTCTTACAAAATAGCATTTGGAGTGACCAAAATTGTGCTGCAATGCAATAAATAATCACTATTATATGTCGAAACGGGCGATTTCTTCCTACAAAATATATTTATGAATTGCGAGAAACGGGAAATAGTGGAGAAAATCTTAATGCGCCTCTAAATCACGACGAAAAGTAAAAATGCATATAATTGACAATTTATTTAAGATTAAGCTTAAAAATTGCGGACAAATTTGGGAAATCTGAAAAAAAAGTTGTGTGAAACTTGAATTTTTCACAAGACAAGAGTAAAAATCGTTATATTTGCCAAACAATCGTAACATTAATTTATAAAATCAAATTATTTTTTTTTCGATCAGTAACACAGTGCTAGAAATAGTAGAAAGACAGAAGCTTTTGTT